CCCCATTTTCCCCCCCCCCCCCCCCCGTTTCCTTCCTTTTACTTTAATTACAAATGAGGAAGCACAAAAAACTCTCCAAACCGTGTGGCTTTGTGGTGCATTTCCCCTCACCCATGCACTGTTGCAGTTGACAGGCAAAGAGAAACTTCTTTGAAGACCCTCACCCTGGGAGACGTGTAGTAACTGGCCAGAAGTTTCTTTTCTTTCTTTAGCAAACCTTTTATAGTAAGCCAAGGAGGGAAGTGTGTATTTTCAGTGCGAAAGAAAGAAGAACTTGAAACCACCGAGAAGTACGGGTACCTTATGCGGGGGCTTGGGGGAGCAGAAAGCACCATTAGTATGCATATTTTAACTCCTTATGGAAAGTAATATTAACAGTTGAAGGGTGCATCTGGTTTGCACCAGGACCACAGTTGTACAAAGGGTTGTTTGCAACCCAGTTCACTTATTGGGGAGGCAGAGACAAAGAGCAAGAAACCAAAATAATTGTACTTTGTTTTAGAGGAAGAACAAGTACAGTGATAAAAAAAGTGATATTATGGCAGTAAGTAGAGCGTTCCTCTTTGGGGAGATTGAAAGGCTTACCCACTCTTTGAAAATGCATTTTTCTACTTAAATTAATGAAAGCCAAGCTGCTTTAGCCAAACCAAAACCTTAGCGCATCAGACAACAGAATAAATCTTTAGCATTATTCTATATTTCTTTATGGTTTGAGCACTGCTCTTTGAACTCCTGCATCAACAGGATCAAACTGGTCTTAAATTTTTGAGGTGGTAAGCCAAACGAAACTGAAGTCCAAGTAACTGGCAGTTAAATGAAAGGTGGGTGGGGAGAACCAGTTTGGTGTAGTGGTTATGGTACTGGATTACAAACCATGAGACTGCGAGTTCGAGTCCCGCCTTAGGCATGAAAGCCGGCTGGGTGGCTTTGGGCCAGTCCTATTTTCCCAGCCCAGCCTGCCTCACAGGATTGTTGTGGTGGGGAAAATAGGAGGTGGGAACATAATGTATCCCACCTGGAGTCTTACAAAACAAAGGCAGGACTTAAATATAATCTATCAATAAAAAGACAATCAAATTATTCAACTCCACAAGGTTAAATGATGACATTTATTAGTATGCAAAATTCAGAAAATTTAAATGCTGCCACTGGCAGTGAGATCATCTCTTCCCCCTTTAAGTTTTAGATGACTTAATTAAAAAAAAAGTGGGAAGTATGCATTTTGCTGAAATTAAAACTACATATGTACATTGCCAGCTTTAAAAAGGTACACAGGATAAATGTTCATCGGTTTAAGAAAAAGGAACAACGAACACCATGAATGTTGCAGCTTTTGCCAAAGTCCTTTGTCGCTTGTTCAGGGGCACCAGCATTAAAGTCAGAGGACACCTCCAAAACCTGAATTTTAAGGGGTTGCAGTTGACCTCGATGGGAAATGTTTCGCCTTGCCTGACGGAGGCGTGGAAGCTATGCTGTGCCTCGCTGAAGGATTCCACGTCATTCACGCGGCTTTCCCTGGGCCCTTGGAGTGAACCGAAGTTGAGCAATACAAGAGTTTCGCTTTGTTCTTTAGAAATAAGATTGGGGGGGGGGTTGCTTTGAAAGGGGCCTCTGCTTAAAGCAGAATGGAAGCAAAATCCCCCTTTGCAGCCTTGCTCTCTCCCACTTCTGAGCTCCCCCTGGACTTATCTCCATAAGGCTGGACATTTGCTTGACATTTGCTGTCAAGTTCTTGAAGTTCTGCTTCAAGGCAGCATCGTTGTTCAGAGCCCAGCTTCCCGGGCATCGTGTACTTCCATCCTCCAGCTCAAACGTCTCCAGGCTCTGTGATCTGGCCATCCATCAATTCAGGAGGAACCCAACCCGTTTAGCCTTCTGTTCAGAGCCCTGGAGAGGAGGCCGCAGACCACCGTCTGAGAGCCGTAAGCACAAGGCAAAAATGGGGTGAACATGGGGCCAGCATTTTGAGAGTAAAGCCTTGCACTTCTTTGCTACTCTGAATTCAGCAGCGCCCCCGAATGTGTTCTGGCGCACCCCCGACCTGCAGGCAGCCGTAGCGCATACCTTACGTGGGGTGGTTTTGTCATTTGTAAGGTACAACCACGTGGCTACCCGAATGCCTCTAGCCAGCATAGCTGGAATCCATTAACCAATGGTTCAGTTAATCTTCCTTTCCAAACATTAAGCCAACCGCAAGGTCTGAGTTTGCACAATACGTTAGGGTAAAATATGGGTAGCTAGTTTGGATTAGTGGACTTTACTTGGAAAAGTAAAGAAGATAGTGTTTAACGTACTGGTGTAGCTTTCACGATGGACAGTGTTGAGCTTCAGGGTTTAGTAACCATGGTCTAGACCACGGATTTCTTGGCGTTTCGCCGGCGGCTGTGGCAGGCATCTTCAGAGGCAGAGTGACCTGCCACGCAGACCACAGGCAACTGAGCAGGGACTGACTGGGCTCCTGTTTTTATAGCCAGGTGTCCCAACTTCTGATTGGTCTTTAGCCGAGCGGGTTTCCGATTGGTGCAGGTTGATGAGGGCTGGTCTCCGATGGGTTCCTTCTCTGTGCCCGATCCTGATGGATCATTTTGGTGGTGGTGTTTCTTGATTGTCCTTTGTTCATGCTGGCTTCTGATTGGCCATTTCTGGAGTGAGGATTCCTGCTTGGTGCTCGCTTTGTGTGGGGTTCTGGTTGGTTCGTCTGAGCAGCTGGGCCCCGAGTGGGTCCTTGCCCAGTTTGGGGAACTGATTCATGGCTGGTCCTGCTTTGGGGCAGGATCTTGGATCTTGATCTCTTGCTCAGGGCAGAGAAGCAGGCTTTGCGAACCTTCAGAGTTTCTTCTTTCTTGTTGAAGCTGTTGGGATGTTTATGCATCTCAATAACCTCTCTGTGCAGGCCTACGTAATAGTTTGATGTGGTCTGCAGCCCTTGTGCGTCCTTGAATTGAATTTCATGACCACTATGGCACAGCGCGTGTTCCCCTCCTGATGATTTTTCGGGCTGTCCTAGTCTGCAGTACCTCTCGTGTTTCTTCAGTTGGGTGTGGAAACTGCGTTTGACGGTCCCAATGTACACCTGTCCACAGCCACGAGGGATGCAGTTGACCCCGGATGTTGTGAGCGGGTCTTGCTGTCTTTGGCCGATCAAATGATTTCCTGGATTTTCTTAGTCAGCCTGTAGATGGCTTTAACATTGTGCTTTTCTAATAAATTTCCTATGCGGTCAGTGACCTTCTCTATGTAGGGGAGGAACGGTTTGTCCTGCTCAAGACACTGAAGATGCCAGCCACAGTTGCCGGTGAAACATCAGGAAATCTGTCCTCTAGACCAGGGTCACTAAGCCCGGCAAGCTAACTTCTTGCCCAAGTCTTGCTGGCAGCCACAGCACCGAAAGCAAGCTCCAAAGATCTCAAGTGATACTTGATGTGATCCTATTTCTGACCCTGGTAGGCTCTCTGCCAGCAAAATGATCTTCAGCTTTTCACTCGCTGCAGTGGCTCTCAACAGAATCAGAGCCCATCTGTGTTTATTCAGGCTTAAATCCAAAGAACTTACCCAGGCGCGTTGTTCGTTTCTTCACACTCTTCAGAGCTGCCAAGCAATTTGTTCAGCTAGGCTTCTTGCAGGGAAGGGCTCCTACGAAGAGTAACTGGTGCAACTTGAATGAGCTTTAGGCGTCTTCAGCTGCTCCCTGAGCAACCCCAACTTTGGCAGGAAGTCAGTTTTTCCCTATTAAACTAACACTTCAGACTCTGTTCCCACGATCTGCTTAACTGGGCGGGGAGTCTCTATGTTGTGAGACCATAAAATGGAGTCAATTGATACATATGTCAGATTTAGCCTAAAACGAGCCCTGTCTTGCACAGGGTTAAATTAACTCTCCCAAGTCAGCTGCGTTGGGTGAGTAGCAAAGCCACATCAATTGCCCCCTCCTACTTAGCTAGTCCCCCAGGATAAAGAGCTGAGAGTAAAGAGCGGCTGAAAAAAACAAGCCCCTTCCATCTGGAACTCACCTCACCAACGCCGATTGGCTGCAGTGAACAAGCCACACCCACAAAGGTCTGCCCGGCCAATGGGTAAGAAGCAGGTGAATTCAAATCTTGCTGAGAAGGCATCTGGATGAGGCTTTCTTTGCGGCTGAATTGCTGGTTGGGGATTGTGTGATCCCCAAGGGATGATTTTTGACCCAAAGGATGATTTTGGGTTAGGGCGTGTCTATAACTAGTCACGAGGTCTGACTGGATTAGTAGCATGTGATGCGAAGAGGCTACGAAGGGCTATCTCATGCTACTGCTACAGTCATCAAGGTAAGCAAACGTAAGGCAGGATGGGTGTGTCAAGAGGGCATCCGTGAAGCATGTAAAAAGGGGTGGGGCTTGGATCATGGGATCATGACTGCCACCTTTAATGCTGGCCCTCTACCCTCCCCTTGCACTGGGCACCCCCGACCCTAATCCTTGTGTGGTTTACTCTGAGTTCTTTCTAAAGGAGCACACACATGTTGCCATGTAAACAGGTTGAACTTCATCTTGTAAACACACAAAATTGTAAGATACATTTAAAATAAAGGTGCAAATCCTCCAAGGATGAGGAAGGGGGACGCATGACATTACAACCCATATCTCCACCAAACAGTCTCCTCTTAAACACTGAGATGAGAATCCATTAAAGAAAAAAATCAGTGCATGTGTTTTCGAGAGTAGTGAAATGCCCTCTTCTACCCCAGCTACGTTTTATGCATCTTCAGACACGCATACAGTAGAATCCGGTAACAATCCAAAATCCACAATATTAACTCTGCGCTTCCTCCAGAATTTTGCCCCCTCCCCAAATTGCTGGAAGAGTATTGGAGGGAGCTTTAGATAAGGATTAGACTTCCGTTTACTGAGAAACCACAGCAGCACACACACAGATCGGTTTGAGGGAAAGCTTTTGAGCTGGCATGGGGATGGGCGGGTAGTAAAAAGGTTTTCGGGAGCTACTTTGATTCCTTTTAATTTCCAATTGTTCAGGCTGAGGTCCGCTGGGTTTCCTTTCTATCCTCCAGCTGGTGTGTTCCTCCTCTTCCTCCAATTACAGGCCCCACGTAGGGGAAGACCGACTGGAGGCAAGTTACACCCGAGGACTTTCCTACAATCTCAACCTTTCAGACACTTTTTGGCTGGACTTCTGGCTGATCTTTGGTAGATGAAGATGACGTCATAGAATTCATCTATGCTACGAGGCTTTAAAAACATCCCGTTGAGAGAAGCAGAGAAAGCTGGCCGTTGGGCTCCCCCCAGCTCCTCCATGAGATCAAATGCCCTTTTTTCCTCAACTTCCCCACTGATGTTATGCTACTTCACGGTCCTACCCAGTTAAAACGCTTACAGAAGGGGTTGCTTTCGGACGCACGCGGAAAGAGTCCCCAGCGGTCCGTGAAATGACGTTCCCTGATTCGCCAGTCTGAAGTCCTGCGGAGGGTGGTCTCGAAGTGTATAAAGATGAATGCATTTTGTACAGGTCGCTTCCCAATCACGGAAGTAGGCGCTAACCAACTGTCCGCAAAGCATCGCTTTTAAACGCAGCCCCTCCTTCTGTGACGTTGGCTTCGTTTCCCCTCGTTTCCTTTTTTATTTTTTGCTTTAGAAACCTTCCGCCAGGTTTATCGGCTAAGAGACGCAAGCCAGTTCTGTTTCTCTTAGGGGAGGAAAGAACAAAGAGGCACTTCTTGATTGGCTGGTAATTCCTAGAGATCCCTTTTTTCAGAATAATGTTATGTTCCTGACACAAGTGGCGGTGTGTGACAGAAGACAGCGATAGATAGTTTTTTAGGCACTTGGCTGCAAGGTTTCCAAGGCAGCGCCCGGCTCCCGGCTATGTCATCAGAATCGGTTTCTGTCGTACCTCCAGAATATCTGGGCAAAGAAAGGATGACAAAGGGTTACCGGGGGAGGAGGAACACAGTTTCCAAGTCCATCTCTTTTGCTACCTAGAAATAACCTGCACGGGGACGTCTGGCTTCGTTTACTTGCAGAGGCGTGGAGACCGTTAGGGGAGACATTCATGAGCAAAAGATTCGAAATGTGGAGATTATACTTCGAAATCCCTTGGTTATTAAAAAGAGGGGAAATGGAATGGTTTTCATCATTAACTTCCAAAATTTGAAACATTCTGGTATTGACTCCAGGCTAAGCCAGGTGTACTTAAGTCCCTTTTAAGTCAAACACTTAATCTGTAACTACTGATTTGCATTCATTTCAACTGACTCAGGGCAAACCTGTATATATCACTTTAAAAACCTGGTATGAAGTTGCCTTTTCACATCTTTCTTTGCTGACCCATTAGCCCTGCTTTGGATCTGGGCTGCAACCAGACTGTCAGCCCAACAAGGTAGACCGGACTAAGAAACCAATGCCAGATAGGCCAGGACTACTTTAATTGTAAAGCTGTAGTAACAGAATCTTGCAAGTCTGAATGTGCTTCCCTTCTCCCTCCCGTTGTCTTCATATGAACTAGGGAGGGGTTTCTCTGAGACATTTTCTCAAGTTACTTTCTTGACCTGGGGCTCAGGCCCTTCTTATCTGACCCTCGCCTTCATCGCAGCTCTTCTCCTGCCCTTCAAAGGTCATTCCCTCTGCCCTTTACACAGACACACCAGCGGAATTTCAATCTTCTGCAGCTTCCCTCCTAAATTTTCCTCATCTTCTGAGTCTTCAGCATTCCCCAACCCAAGGTCCCCTTGCTCCTTTCACCCCTAGCCAGTGGAGTCATTGCCATGCTGACTGATAATGGGAGTCCAGCACAGAGACTATCAGCTTTGGAGAGGGGATTCTGTATCAGAGACAAGGAACAGGACTGCCAGGACTAGGACCAAAACCTTTCTTCAGAAGGTCCTCAGGAACAGGCATCAAGAATATTGTTAAGACACTGCTTCCTGGAAGCATCTGAAGATGCTCCCAACAGTTTCTGACTTATTGAAAGACCAAGAAACAGAGCTGTGCGTGCACAAACATTTGCACTGTACATGCCAAGTGAGTGGGAAATGGGTGGGCTTAACTAGCACCCTCCCATGGCCATCGCTTTGACTTTCTGAATGTCTGCATGGAGCTCTTGGCAATTTCAAGGGGATTTAAGAACCTGCACTGAGAGTTAACACTGGAGAAGGAAGGAAGGAAGGAAGGAAGGAAGGAAGGAAGGAAGGAAGGAAGGAAG